GAGATATCATAAATTTATATATCGTATATCTATTGCTGCTGCGAACATACTCCCCCCATTGGAAGGCGTAGGCTTTCAACCATGTCTGATTCAATCGGAAGCACAGCAATCTTGGTTATGGCCCTTTTTACAAGTCCGCTTGCAGTTCGTATAATTGCTGCTCTGACATATCCATCATCACCAGTGAATGAGCGCTCAATTCGACCTAGAGTCCATTTTAAGGGGGGTAAGTTGTCGTCTTTCAGAAGCACCATAGCACCTTGCTGTACATTTGGGGTAGCTGTACGCCACTTAGACCTCTCTTGTAGCAATGATAAATACGAAGTGCTCCACTTTTGCCAGAAGATTTGCTGCATTTGACAAATTCGCTGCCATCGGCTAAGGCAGTTCATGTTTAAATGTGTTACGTTTGGTTCGGTGATAGCTACGAGTGGTCCACCTATGAGGAAATGCGCTGGCGTAAGCACGTCAAGATCATGTGGGTTTTCTGTAATTGGACAGAGGGGGTGTGAGTTTACAATAGCAGAAATTTCACAGACCAAAGTGCGAAGCTCATCAAAAGTTAAAATGGAAATGCCAACGGTCCGATAAAAATGAAGTTTTGCGGATTTGACCGCAGCCTCCCATAAACCACCAAAGTGCGGCGACCGAGGCGGAATGAATTTCCAGTCTATATGATTTTCAATGCAAGCTTCTGCTATTGCGTTGTTGTGATTTTGATTAAAAAATAATTTTCGCAGCTCCTCCAGCTCATTCTTCGCTCCTACGAAATTTGTTGCGTTATCAGACCAGATTGTGCTCGGTTTGCCTCTAATGCTGATAAAACGCTTAAGTGCTGCGATGAATGATTGAGTCGATAAATCTTGAACAAGCTCAAGATGAGTCGCTTTCGTCGCAAAGCAAACAAAAATGCATACATAGCATTTGACAGGCGGTCGGTTGCGTACAGTGTGTTTGTAATGAAATGGTCCACAGTAATCAATCCCGGTGGTGTGGAATGTTCTGGATGGCCGCACGCGATCTTTTGGCAGAAACGACATAATTTGCTGTAATACCCGAGGCTTCAGGCGATAGCAATTTATGCATTTATTGACAATTTTAGCGACTGTTTTGCGCCCACCAATAGGCCAATACTGCTGTCGGATCGATGCTAGCAAACTCTGTGGTCCTGCATGCAGGAGTTTTCGATGATAAAATTCAATGAGCGCGTTGGTGACTGGATGCTGCTTTGGTAGCAAAAGCGGATGCTTTGCCTCGAAGTCCAAATTTGAATAATGAAGTCGTCCTCCAACGCGAAGTGCACCAAAATCGTCGACAAATGGATTGAGAGACAGCAGGTTGCTAGACGAAGGTAACTGTTTATTTTCCTTTAGTAGTTTGTATTCTGTTGCGAAGTATACTTGCTGTATATGCCTGATTAATAATAATGTACCACATTTTACGTCATCGACAGTAAGCGATCCAGTTGATGGTACAGAGCGTTTTGCGTTTAACTGACAAAATTTGTAAACGTATGCGAATACGCGTTGTAGCTTGCCAAATGAATTTTGAAATTTGCAATCAAAAGTTGCATCAATTCGAGGACTTGTAACCAGAACACGGCGTCGCCTTTCTGGAAGATCAGTCAAGAAATCCATGTTTCCTGGCCAGTGCGATGAATCTGTACGGAGAAATGCAGGACCATTTGCCCAAAGAAAGTTATTTAGAAGCTCCTTTGGAGCACAACCACGTGAAAGAATATCCGCAAGATTTAGATCAGTAGGAACATGATGCCTTGTCATGCCCGATGTGAGGGATTGAATCTGGGCTACGCGATTGGAAACAAATATGTTAAAATTTCCAGGAAAAGACCGCAGCCATGACAAAACAATCATTGAGTCCGACCAGCAATGACATTCGTAAGATAGCTGACTATTTTCCAAAATGTTTGAGACCAATTCTGCCAGCAGCAATGCGGCTGACAATTCGAGTTTCGGAACGGTGAGTGATTTCAATGGTGTCACTCTCGACTTGGAACACAGGAGATGTGTTTTTATGACACCTTGATCTTCAATACGGGTGTAAAGGCAAGCACCGTAAGCAGATAAACTGGCATCACAAAATGCGTGGAGCTGTACACGTACCTGCATAGCGAGTACGAAGCGTGGGAAGCGAAGGCTGCTAACGATGGATAGTTGACTGCACAAATCCAACCATGTACAATGCAAGGACTGCGGCAAACTTTCGTCCCAATCCAACTTTTCTTTCCATAAGGCTTGCATAAATACCTTCAAACTTGTAATTACAGGCGAAATTAACCCAAGTGGATCATAGAACCGCGCTATTACCGAGAGAATCGAACGTTTTGTGATTTTTCCCGAATTTGAAATTGGCGTGAAGCTAAACAGAAATTGGTCTGATATGGGGTCCCACACAAGGCCGAGCGCCTTTGTAACATCGGTACCATCATGAAACTTCAAGAATTGTTCGCAGTCTTGCTCATCTTCATCTTTAAGAACGACAGCTTCATTCGAACACCATTTCCGAATAGGAAAATCTCCTCGTCGAAGTAGCTGCTTCACCTGCTGCTTCATTTGCATGACTTCTTCAATCGTATCACCACCAGAAATTAAGTCGTCTACGTAAAAGTCGCTTCGAATGATTTTTGCCCCGATGGGGAATGCTTCTTCTTCGTCAAACGTAAGTTGGTGCATAGCCCGAATGGCTAAAAACGCAGCTGGCCTTGTACCATATGTCACAGTGTCGAGCTTATAGATTCTTATTTCCTCTGATGGATCATCACGCCAAAGTATGCATTGCAACTGGTTATCAGGGTTAGCCATTTTAACACAGCGATACGTTTTGCATATATCACCACAAAGCGCAACCTTGAAAAATCTGAAACGAAGTAATGTGCTAAAAAGTTTCGGTTGTATAGTTGGTCCTGACAGCAACAAATCGTTTAAAGAGTGCCCAGAAGTGGTTTTAGCAGATCCGTCGAATACTACACGCAATTTTGTAGTAGTACTATCTTGTTTTCGAACACAATAGTGGGGTAGGTAGTAAACCGGAGCGCCTGCTAGTAATGATGCCATTGACATGTGACCAAGATCCATGTATTCCTGCATGAAGTCTGAGTATAAACGCTTTGTGGGTTGATCTCTTTGAAGCTTTCTTTCTAGAGCCTTGAATCTCCGTAAAGCAAGGTCGTACGAGTCACCGAGAATATCGAAATTAGATTTAGGAGGTAGCCTTACTGAATACGCTCCTGATGGCAGACGAACGTGATTTTGTACGAAATGCTTCTCGCAGAAAACATCTTCATCTGACAAGGTTGGGTTAGGGGTTGCGGCGAATCTATTGTCGACCTCCCAAAAGCGCGTGACAATGCTTGCCAGTATGTCATTACTATCTCCTAGTGGCTTTGGATTTCTGAAGGACGAAAGAGCTGTGGAGCGACTATTGAAGTGCGATACCCCTTCTGAAACCACCCAGCCTAACTTAGTTTTTTGTAGCGTAGGAAGATGGTCAGCTATCCTAACTTGCCCAACGCAAATTAGGTCATAGAAAAGTTCAGCTCCAATCAAAAGGTCAATGCGACTTGCTTTGAAAAATGTGGGATCAGCCAGTTTAATGTTATTGGGTATATTCCAGCCGTCAACGTTGATATCAAAGTTCGGCTGATAGTCGATTATGCTTCGTGTGATTAGTGCTGCAAACGATGTTGAGAAGCTGCCATCTTGCGCTTGAGCAAAGATGTCAACACACCTATCGGCGATGATACTCGCCTCTCCGATGCCAGATATTGAAACTGGTGAGTGACAGGAACGAAGTTGAAGCTGATTCGCAAATCGAGTTGTAATGAAATTAAGTTGAGATGCGGAGTCTAAAATGGCTCGACATGGAACTAGCGTACCTGCACGATTTTTAACTAAAACGATGGCTGTCGCTAATAGCACACGCCGGCAACTAAAGTTGACTGTTGAGCTAATGATTGGCTGTTTGTGACAGCTGGGGGCGAGCTTGATGTCGGTCCACTGTCTTGAACACCATTTATATGCAACAACGAGTTATGTTTTGCTTGGCAATGCCGGCAGCTGCCCGATTTGCACTGCTTGACAGTGTGGCCCTTACGAAGGCAATTCAAGCACAAATGAAACCTTTTTGCTTCTTTATAGCGCAATTTGGGTGAAAGATTTAAAAAACGAGTACAGACATTAATAAAATGCTCCTTTGAATCGCAAAAAACACAAAGTGAGGTTGATTTTACACTAGATGCTGCAACTAGTACATTTGCTTTTGATTTTGATTGAGCTGAATTTTTGCCCACCTGTTTGCTAGGTGTCTGATTGACCATAGCATTTTCCAAATTTTCAGCCATGCGACATCTTTTTTCCAAAAACGTTGACATCTCTAGCCAGGTCGGTAATTTTTGAGTAGACAAGTTCTCCTCCCATTTTCGTGCGTGTGTAGATCTAGTTTGCTAGTCACGAGATGAATGAGTAAGCCATTATATGTTTCTTCTGTAGTTGCCAAAGTTTGCGTTTGGGCGTTTACTTGATCGCTTAATTTTCGTAATCCGCCTGAAATGCCCTCCTCTACACGTTGTAGCCCGAAAATTGCCTTTATGTGAGCCTGAAAATTAAGCAATTTATTATCAAAACGTCCTTTTAGTAAATCTAATGCTTTGCTATAATTTTCTTCAGTGGGATCAAGTGAGCGGATGGTATCTAAAGCTGCTCCATCGAGGCTGGTGATCAAATATTGCATTTTTTCCAATTTGGACATCTCCATGTCCTTATCTATTGCTGAAGTAAATGTACTGAAGAACGATGGCCAATCGAGATATGAGCCGCTAAAAACTGGAATTTTCAGCTCAGGTAGTCTGGACCGTCGTTGGGAAGGCTGTACCGCAGCTTCTTCCCAGGAGAAGGCTCGTAGAGTCGATGAGTGCGCGCCACAAGCCTTTTGCTTAGATTTTAGTTCACGATTGAGTTTCGCTTCAAGCTCAATATATGCCTTGAAAAAGTTTTCGTCCGAATCCGACTCGAATTCCTTCCTGTCCAGTCGCTTGAGGGCTGAGCGAGCATTCTCAAAGTTTGACTGCATGCGTTCGGCATGCTTAAGCCGAGCCGAAATATCTGCTTCATCCAAACCTTTTAAGCGATCATTTGTCAAAAAGGTACTGAGAGCATCCAGCTGCCGTTGAAGGGAATTACATTCCTTTTTGTAAAACGCGATATCACCCGCTAGACTAACGCTCTCGTCACCCGATTTCGACTTTTTTGGAATTTTTAAGCAAACAAATCGAGTATTTTTGGTTTCGGTAGAGAAATATCCGCGATATAATATGCGCGCTAATAACTGAACCTATGGATGCACTCGATGGCAACGAAAATGTATGTCGAAAGCTGTGTACATACAAATATGCGAACCGAGGTTACTTCTACTTGGCAAACGATCACGAAATATTAAAATGCGAAAATTTCGATATCACGTCGGGGTCACCAAATGTTTGAGAATTAAGTAGTTTCTTAATCCTTCCAGCGAAACATTTAGGCCGAGAAAGTTCTAAATATAAATGAAACACCGATGTGGCTTAAATATAAGTGCAAAGCGTTTTCTTTATTTCCAAGCCAAAGCAGAAGTGAAGTGAGCTTAGGTGAACGAATTCAATTGTACCCAAACCGGTCGCTTAAAATATTTGTACACAGTTAGCTGAGATAATTTCCACAACAATAAATATAATAGGCAGAAGGTTAGTGATAAGGAAATGCAAAATAAGATAACAAGTGCAATGC